ATTATGGGCCTTTGGGGGCTGTGCCAGCAGATGGAGGGGGTATCTCTTGAAATAAAAGTTTTAAAAGGAAAAATAAACAAATAAATAAAAGTGCCCTGAAAAGCAAATAAAAGGCACAGTAAGGCTCTTCCCCTTTGATACTGATGGGATGCTAAGGTCTCAGCTGTCAACAACAGGAGGCACTTTCTCAATTGATCCTCATAGATGCAGTTAACCACAGTGGTCCAGACAGGGAGAAGAGCACTCCCTAAGTGTCACAGCTGGTGAGTAAGCGAAGAGCCTGAACAGAACCAGGCCTCTCTCTTGAGTCCTGGGACTTTGTTCTGTTCAGGATTCCATGGTCATATGTTTGGGGCATATGGGTTTCCTATGGCTTTTCAGCTGAAACTTGAAACTCATTTTTGAAAGGGAATTCAAAGCTGCAAGGCCAGAGACTTCTAAGTCTCTGAAACAACTTTTGAGTCTCTCGAAAGCCAGACAAGTGGGCATGGTGATCTGCATTCAGAAAGCCAGTCAGGGTTCCTTGTAAAGCATGAATTACTCTGCTTTGAGGTATTTGAGCCAAAGGGTGAATGAACTTAAACTGAAGGCATCATATTCTTATGGGAAAGGGCTGTATGTCTGCACCCAGCACAGCATCAGGCACATTAAATACACAGAATTGTTTTTAAGTCTGTAAACAAGATATTGGGATAATATTACTCCTGTTTCGAGATGATGCAACAGTCATAGCTACACAAACCCAAGACTTTGGAAAGTTATCAATCAGTAAGTCCTAAGATCAAGTCAACAAAAAAAATCAACAGAGAAATAAGCTTTGATATATTCTTAAATGTGGGATAGAAGAGTAAGGACACAAATAATACTTACCAATACTTTACAGAGAGGAAGACCTGACTAGGTAAGTATACATAAATCAAAAAAAAAAATAAAATGCTATGGGTGGGGCCTTTACTCTTCATTTCAGCGTGGTCTGAGCAACCCTTCTCATTACCCCACTAGCTGAACATTTTCTGAGATGAACACAGAGTATGTGTGAGCCTGATTAGACTCTTCCAAGTACATGTATTACCATTAACAATGCTACAACAACAGAACACCATGCATCCACTGTGCATACATTCATCTCTTTGCCCCGAGTCAAACAGCCCCATCTTTATCATGACTAGAACCATAAATACTGCGCGGAATGACAGGTTTTATGATCAATTTTTTAATTTTCTTCATAAATAATGTTCTTAGGCATAATTTACATTAATGTTTATAGATTTATCAAATTCATCATTTTTTTTTTTCACAAAGTCTATTCACAGTTCATCTCCCCAGTAAAAATTCTGGGGTAGCCTTGGTTGTTCTTGTAACAGGTTGATGAAACCCAAATCTATTTTCTAACTCGAAATCTATGGCCTTTCTATTTCACAGCAGAAGATGGTCAAGAAAGGAGAGCCAGTACCCCTCTGTATCTGGCCATGGATCACCATTATTACCCCAGGCAACTGTCCCACAGATGTGTGTTCATCAATGCAATCATCCATCTCTACTATTATAAAAATATCACTGGTAGGAACATCATTCTACATCCTAAAAAATGGCGAGAACTTATATGCACTGACCATTGATAGAAGCTCTCCATATCTCATAGTTGTAAATTTCAGGAACACACTGGCCCATTCAGTGTAGCTAAAATTCTTGGCTACATAAAAAGGGAGCTGGTTATTATGGTGGAATAGAAAGAATATATCTAAAACTCTTGACAAGCTCTGTATTCTTGGATTCACATTCCAGCTCTTTAACTGGCTTGCTTTCTGAACCTCAATTTCTTCAATGAGAAAATGAGGATGATGGCACCTCCTTACAGACGCATTATAAAAAAATGCCCGCCTTAGTACCTGGCAAATGGTCTGGGCTTGACAAAGGTTGGTCTACTTTCCACTGATTTCTCAGAATACTTACTCTTTCTCTGTATCTGTGAGTTAAAATCTACTTCTTATAGACTCCTTACACAGCCTAACCAAGTAAAATCCTACTACTGTCAAGTTTATAAAATTTATCCATGAGTGGGGCCGGTGCCATGGCACAGTAGGTTAATCCTCCACCTGCGGCACCAGCATCCCACATGGACGCCGGTTCTAGTCCTGGCTGCTCCACTTCCAGTCCAGCTCTCTGCTGTGGCTTGGGAAAGCAGCAGAAGATGGCCCAAGTGCTTATGCCCCTGCAACCACATGGGAAGACCAGGAAGAAGCACCTGGCTTCTGGCTTCGGATTAGCGCAGCTTGGGTCGTTGCAGTCATTTAGAAAGTGAACCAATGGAAGGAAGACCTTTCCCTCTGTCTCTCCCTCTCACTGTCTGTAACTCTCTCAAATAAAATAAATTTAAAAATTACATAAATAAATAACAAGTCACCAAATAATTTGAAATATTTTTTAAAAATTTACCATGTGTGTGCTGGAGGAAGGGGTGGGTATCATGGTGTTTTATTTATTTAAACAGGCAGAGTTAGACAGAGAGAAAGGTCTTCCTTCCATTGGTTCACCCCCCAAATGGCCGCTACGGCTGGCACGCTGTGCTGATCCAAAGCCAGGAGCCAGGTGCTTCCTCCTGGTCTCCCATGTGGGTGCAAGGCCCAAGCACTTGGGCCATCCTCCACTGCCTTCCCAGCCATAATAGGGAGCTGGACTGGAAGAGGAGTAACCAGGACAGAATCCGGCACCCCAACTGGGACTAGAACCCGGGATGCTGGCGCTGCAGGTGGAGGATTAGCCAGGTGAGCTGCGGCGCCGGACCCTCATGGTGTTTAATATCCCAGACGTCATCTTGCTGCTCAAGGTGTAGTCTACAGACCAGCAGCAGTGGCATGGAAGACTGAAAGGCAGACTGTCAGCCCCTACCCAGACCCACTGAATCAAAATATGCAAGATCCTTGGTGATATGTTTACATCTTAGAATTTAAAAATACTACTGTGTAACACACCTGGACACTCAATAAATCAGAGGCTATTGACTCTCTAATTGAGGAATTGGTTGTGGCACTCTTGCTTTTGTAATGCTCCATGAATCTTAATTTGGGTAGAAAGCAACTACTGACCATAGCATTTTCATTGGAAGTACAAGATGACTGCAAACTTCTTAATTTGTACCTTTTGCATTATAATATGATACAGTAAGAACACTGGTTTCAAAGCAAAAACTTAAATCTTCTCTATTAATGCAATCATTTATATAATTGGTGCTTTTAAAATAATAATAAAAGCATTCTGATTGCATGTAAGCTAATTAAATAACAGTTTGGAAGGATATTTTTAATGTAGTAATTTCTGGTTTCTGGGATGCAACACATAATAGATTGATTAGTAAAAAGCTCCTACAAATTGAATGTTCTCAACACAGATGACAAGGTTCTGCAGCATATCTTGTTTCTAACATGCCGGGTGATTCTGTGCACATGGCTTTCTCCCTTGCATCTGTTTTCTGAAAACATTTCTTGGGTTTTTTTCCAGGTATTCACGAAAGAACACTATTTAAGGCCTCTGCAAGTAAAGTTGACCATCCAAATTCCTAAAACGAATCACCAAATGCTGGATGAGGGAGACTGGTAACTGTGTATCAGGAAACAAAAACCAGTCTGAGTGAGTCATCTCTGATCAAAGATAAGACAGCCACAGCCAGGGCTTGGCGCAAACAAATGCCCACAGCAATCACATGCCAGAATCTCGTGTTTAATGGTTTCTCACATTAAAATGCATAAGTCAGCTGTGTGAAACCAGGAAGTGCAACCCAGGATACCACATAAATAACAGAGAGTCTTGAGTTTGGTATTATCCTTCTACTCCAAGTCCATTTAAGTTTTCAGCAGATACATAAAAACGAAGATGTTATTTTGTCAAGTAGTAAGCAGAAAGGTAAAAGCTAACTAATCTGACAGGCTTTTGAAATGTTTAAAAAGAAAATGCTAGTACTTTTTGGAGGCCTACTTATTGAGGTCTTTGATTGAAAATGAAAAATGTGATCAGGGGCTGGTGCTGAGGCGCAGAGGGTTAACGCCCTGGCCTGAAGCGCTGGCATCCCATATGGGTGCTGGTTTGAGTCCCGGCTGTTCCACTTCCAATCCAGCTCTCTGCTGTGGCCTGGGAAAGCAGTCTAAGATGACCCAAGTGCTTGGGCCCCTGCACCCACGTGGGAGACCTGGAAGAAGCACCTGGCTCCTGGCTTCGGATCAGCACAGCTCCAGCCATTGCAGCCAACTGGGGAGTGAACCAGCTGAGGGAAGACATCTCTCTCTCTCTCTCCCCTCTCTCCCCTCTCTCCCCTCTCTCCCCTCTCTCCCTCTCTCCCTCTCCCCTCTCTCTGTGTAACTCTGACTTGCAAATAAATAAAATAAATATTCCAAAAAAAAAGAAAAGAAAAAGAAAAAGGTGATCAGAAGGTGGCTGATACCTCAAAAAATGTTTCAGATCAAGTGGTAAATCAGTTATAGAAGCAGAAAAGCCTGGCCCCACTACTAAGCTTGAAAAAGAAGATGAGTGGTAATTTGCGCCACAGGGCACTGCCGTCTACAAGCTTCTCCAGGCACCCCTTAGCAGGTTCCGCCAGGTGAAGAGCCAGGAGTCCTGATAGCCCCTAAAACTCCTAGACAGAGGATCTACCCAGGCCCCAAGCCTGCTCCATGCCTGCCAGGCTCGACACAGGGATAATGCAAACACTCAGGCTATATTTTTCAAAGGGGGTATCTCCTATCAACACCACATGCCCATTAGCAGGCAGGGCTCCAAGGAAAACATCACTTAAGCAGGTTCTAATGAGTTCCTGCTCCATGATATAAGTACTGTCCTCTGAAACACTGCAGACCAGCTGCAAACAATGGCAGTAAGCCCCAGGCCCTGCACTCATAAAACCCCTCTCAAAGTAAAAAAAGATTGCAATTTCTGAAATCGGAACAAGAGAAACACTCACATTAAGCCCCCACGCCCACCCCTAGTGTTTCCACGCAGTGCAACATTACCTCATAATGAAGGGAATAAAAGGGGCCAGGCTGAGGGCAGAAGAAGTGCCATCCATTGGGGACGGGTAGAGTCTCTCCAACACCAAAAGTAAAAGAAACATGCTGGGATGACGGTCTGGTTCTCCCACATCACTGAAAAGCAATTATTGAACAGCAAAGATTAAAAACTTAAGAAGGGAGCCATATATCTTCAAATACTGCTTCTCATTCAACAATTCTGTGCATGAAGTGAGACTCTCTTCAAGAGGCCTATTTTCCTTTCTTCCTTTTCCTTTATTCACTGTACATCTTCCTAATGTGCATCACGAGGAATGACTGGAAACTGCGGACTGGGCTTTTGTGCAAAATCCTCTTCTCAAAGCTCACCATATGCTGAAGCAGAGTTTGCTGTTGCGATAAGAGTTGTTCCTTCAGCAAAGGGGTGCCAGCAAATGGGTTCCAGAGTTTGAAATGGGAAACTTTCCAGCTTTCAAATGTAGTTAAAGACAGCATCAGCAGGCAGCCAGTTATTAGGGCCAGAAAAGTTGTGTGCACAAACTACTAGTGGGAGAAAATGTATAATAAACTGAAGTATAATCCATTGATAATTTTACTTTCCCACTATAGATACTGTACATTCATAACAAGTATAAAAATCATTAGAAGACTGCAAAGCCCATGCTATAAGATGTCCACCTAAAATTTCCATTATCAGCTACAGAATATGATTAAAAGGACAACAGTGAGACTGGAAGCCCACTGAGTGGCTGTGCTTTGTGTTTCCTAGGTCACAGGCCATTTTTGATAATGTAGATCAGTACCATATCTTATCACAGGTGACCAGATTAGTTACCTAATTGCACAGTTTCGCTGGCGCCGTGGCTCACTAGGCTAATCCTTCACCTTGCGGCGCCGGCACACCGGGTTCTAGTCCCGGTTGGGGCGCCGGATTCTGTCCCGGTTGCCCCTCTTCCAGGCCAGCTCTCTACTGTGGCCCGGGAGTGCAGTGGAGGATGACCCAAGTGCTTGGGCCCTGCACCCCATGGGAGACCAGGAGAAGCACCTGGCTCCTGCCTTGGGATCAGCGCGGTGCGCCGGCCGCAGCACGCCGGCCGTGGTGGCCATTGGAGGGTGAACCAACGGCAAAAAGGAAGACCTTTCTCTCTGTCCCTCTCTCTCACTGTCCACTCTGCCTGTCCAAAAAAAAAAATAATAATAATAATTGCACAGTTTCACAATAGCAAACTACAGACTAGTAATAAAAAAGGATAGGTCTGCATTAAACAAATTCAATATGTAAACACACATATTTAAGAAAGAGGGAGAAAGTAATTACTTTTTTTTTTTTTTTTTAAGATTTATTTTAGGCCGGTGCCGCGGCTCACTAGGCTAATCCTCCGCCTGCGGTGCCGGCACCCCAGGTTCTAGTTCCGGTCGGGGCGCCGGATTCAGTCCCAGTTGCTCCTATTCCAGTCCAGCTCTCTGCCCAGGAAGGCAGTGGAGGATGGCCCAAGTGTTTGGTTCTTGCACCTGCATGGGAGACCAGGAGGAAGCACCTGGCTCCTGGCTTTGGATCGGCACAGCACACCAGCCGCAGCAGCCATTTGGGGGGTGAACCAATGGAAGGAAGACCTTTCTCTCTGTCTCTCTCTCACTAACTCTGCCTGTCAAAAAAATAAAAAATAAAAAAAATCTATTTTATTTATTTGAAAGGCAGAGTTGGGGGGAGTGAGAGAGAGAGAGAGAGAGAGAGAGATCTTCCATCCACTGGTTCACTCCCCAAATGGCTGCAATGGCCCAGGCTGGGCCAGATTGGAGCCAGGAGCCAAGAGTTTTATCTGGGTCTCCCATGTGGGTGCAGGGGCCTAAGGACTTAGGCCATCCTCCACATCTTCCCCAGGTATATTAGCAGAGAGCTGGACTGGAAGTAGAGCAGCTGAGACTTGAATTAGAGCCCATATGAGATACAGGCACTGCAGATGGTAGCTGAACCCACTGTGCTACAGTGCCGGCCTCAAGAAAATAATTCTTAAGGAGAAATCACCATGTATTTTTAAGAAGCCAGTTCCTATAACACTGAAGACAGGATTAAATTTGATACAATTTAATGTAAAACAGGATTTTTAAAAACATGAAATATAAAAATAGATTTTGCATAATTTTTCAGGTAAAAAAGTACCATCAAAAGATAGCCAACATGATGCAATTATGAAAAAGCACATTTTTTAAAAAAGTTATCTATATATTACAAGGAAGGAATTGATTAATATCTGTTGCCCTAGAAGGAAAATTCTAATTAATGAAGTCACTCACACCTGTGATTTCACTCACCCTACCCTGTTTTCTTACCTGTCCACTTTATTGGCCACAGTTTCCAACTGATTGAGAAGAAAAGGATAGAGTTCTGGAAAGCGGGAGAAAAACTGTCTTCCTGTCATTCTGCAGAGGGAGAAAAAAAAAAGATACATTTCTATTATTTATCTCCTCTGATCTGATAATAAAGCCTTTGTTTTACAGGGAGATAACAAAAGCATTTGTTTGGATATTTAGCAAAAGAAAGTTCAAAACAAAACCTACAATTTCTTAAGAATTTAACAACAGAATTGTTATATGTAATTTAGGTTTAGGAAGTACTTTAAAGCATGCACTTTTACCTCAAATTTAACATTTTGTATGTTTACAAATATTAGATATCCAAGTCTATCAGGGAGGAAATATGTAATCTGTGAAAACATCAAGTTTGCACAAGTGAGTCAGACTACCAGGACAGTCAACATCTGATTGAGACTCAGCTTCAGCGACAAGGGCATATCTAGAAAAAGATTTCTCAGCCTTGCGCCAATGATACCTTCTCCTCAGTCACGACAATCAAAATATCTCCAGACACTGCCAAGCAGCCTGTGGGACAAAGTGGTCCCAGACTAACAACCACTGGTCTGGAGTGTGGGCATCAGAGGCACAGACTTGGCTTGTGAGGGTCTGGAGATCCAATTCCCGACAACACTGTAAGGGGTACCTTTTCCGTCTTTCCAGAAACTACTCTTGGACTCTGCCAGTGTCCTAAAAATAGGTCCTCTGACCACACAACTGACCAAAAAGTTCAATCTGAAACTAGGAAATATTTTGTCAGCATAACTATTTAAGAACTACTTTCAAGGAGAGCCATAAATATTCCCTAACCTGCCTACCTGGATAAGCTCTGAATGTATGCTCCTATTAATAAAGACAGAGAATGTAATTTTTTGTACAAAAAAAAAAAACAAAACCCTGAAGTATATTTATATACAGCGAAATGCTCAGATCTTAGGAATGACATTTGATCCACAAATACACAGCCTACATTCATGTAATCCACAAACCTATCAAGACTGAGAAAATTCGCCATTACGTTCCCTGGTGCCCCTTTCCAGCCAACTCCTGTCCCACCAAAGCAACCACTGAGTTAATTTCTATCACCACAGTTTGGTTTTGTCTATTCTAGTATTTCATACAAACGTAATAATATATTACATAATTTTTGGGGTCTGGGTTTTTTCAATCAGCATAAAGCTTATGAGATTTATCCATGTTATTTGATGTATCAATTTTTAATTGTATTTCTTTTGAGCAGTTTTCCAATGTATGAGTATTTAAGTTTGCCTATTCATTCTTTTGACAGTCATGGGAGCCTTCCATTTTTGGCTATTATGAATAAAGCTGCTATGAACATTCTGTTCAGAGCTTTTTGCGGACATAGTTCTTCACTGCTCTTGGATTAAAATCTGAGAATAAAGTTGCACTGTATTTAACATTTTAGGAAATTGACAGTTTTCCAAAGTAGTTAAAAACACTTTAAAACTCCCAATGACAACAACTGAGAGTTCTGGTGGCTCTACAACCTTTCCAACATTTGCTGTTGTCTCCCCCATCCCTTTTTCTCTGTAGCCATTGTCAGTGGGTGGGCAGTAGTACCTCCCTGTGACCTTGATTTGTATCTCCTTGGCAAGTAATGTCAACTGAGCATTCTTCGTGTGCTTTGCTCCTTGGCATAGCCTTTTGTGAAGTAGCTATTCAAGAACTGCCTATTTTAAATAAGTTGCTTTTTTCCTCAACACCTGTATATGCATACACTTTCTCCTAAGTGATTTGCCAGCTTCTTTTCGCTTTCTTTTTTTAAAATTATTTATTTTATTGGAAAGACAGAGAGCAAGGGAAAGAGGGACACACAGAGATAGATTTCCCATCCACTGGATTGTTCTCGACATGCCACTAAGAGCTGGGGCTGGGCCCGGACAAAGCAAGGAGCGGGGAACTCAGTCCAGGTCTCGTGCATGGGTGTCAGGAAATCAGCTATTCGAGCTGCTTCGTTTTAGAGTGTGTGTTAGTACAAAGCTGGAATTGGGAAACTGAACTGGAACTGGAACTCAGGCACTCCAACATGGATGCGGGTGTCTTAAGCATCATTTTAACCGTTGCCCCAAACACTCGCCTATACGTCTTTAAGAATGTCTTTTTTATGAAGTCCTATAAGTTATCAATTTTTTTCCTTTTATGATTCTTGCTTTCTAAGGCCTAAGAAACCTCTGGTTACTTCAAAGTCACAAAGACAGTCTATGTGTTCTATAATTTTGGCTTTTATGTTCAGGTCTGTGATCCAGTGATGTGAAACAGAGGTCAAGGTTCTTTCTTCTAGATTGATATAGATTTTTAAAATATTTATTATTTAATTTATTTGAAAGGCAGAGTGACAGAAAGAGTGGAGAGACAGAGATTTTTCACCTGCTGGTTCACTCTCCAAATGGCCACAATGGCTGGGGCTCATTCAGGCTAAAGCCAAAAGCCCAGAACTCTATTTGGGTCTCCCAGTTGGGAGGCAGGGACCTTAGTACTTGGGCCAACTTCTGATGCTTTTCCCAGGCTCATTAACAGGCAGCTGGATCTGAAGTGGACTCATATCTGAAAGCGCTGATATTGGATGCCAATGTTGAAAGCGATAGCTTAACCTGATGTACCACAACACCATCACCTATCATTTTTAAGAGAGACACTGTAAGAAGAGATATGACTTAAACAGGAGAGATGTGCCATGCTCATGGATTAGAAGACTCAATATTAGAAAGAAGAAATTCTCCCAAAATTGATTATAAAGTATAATTCCAATAAAAATAGTATGCATGTATGTGTGTGTATACATGTGTCCTCAGTAGATGCTTAAATGTATGCAGATACATCAATAGTCAAGAGTAAGATTATCGGGGCCGGTGCTGTGGCGCAGTGTGTTAAAGACCTGGCCTGAAGTGCCGGCATCCCATATGGTCACCGGTTCTAGTCCCGGCTGCTCCCCTTCTGATCCACCTCTCTGCTGTGGCCTGAGATAGCAGTCTAAGATGGCCCAAGTCCTTGGGCCCCTGCACCCACGTGGGAGACCCGGAGGAAGCTCCTGGCCCCTGGCTTCGGATCGGTGCAGCTCTGGCCATTGCGGCTATCTGGGGAGTGAATCAGTGGATGGAAGACCTCTCTCTCTGTCTCTACTTCTCTCTGTAACTCTTTCAAATAAATAAAGTAAATCTGTTTTTTTTTTTTAAAGAGTAAGATTATCAGAGATAATCTTGAGGAACAAGATTAGAAGACTGAAATAGCTAGAAATATCATAAAACTTCAGTAATTAGGACACTGTGGGTAAAAGTAAGCCAGTAGACTAGAATGGACAGCACAAGAAAAGTCATACACAAATTTGATCTGTGAAAGAGCTGATACTGTAGACTACAGGTAACCAGTATCTACAGATAACCAATTATCTACAGACAAAACTAAACTTGGATCCTAACCTGCTATATGTACGCTATTCAATTCTATTGAATCCAAGACTTAAAAGCAGCACACAGGAAAAATGCAAATTAACAAACACATATAATTTTTAACCTATTTTGAAAACTTGGGATCCTGCCATGCCCATTCCTGGCCTGATATTGCTAGGTTAGATGCCCATCCTGTCACACGTGAAGTTTCCTGTTCACTTGCTTACTCCTCCCAGCAGATTACACATTCTGCATGGGTACAGCCTAGAGCTATCTCTATCTCCCATACTAAGTATGATATCTAATCCACAGCTGGTGTTCAATAAACAGATGGTGAATAAGTGAAGAACGCCAAAAGGACAGAGTCCTTAAGACAGACAAGGAGGGGCCGGCACTGTGCATAGTGGGTTAAGCCAACACCTGCAGTGCTGGCATCCTATATGGATGTTGGTTCAAGTCCTGGCTTCCCTTCTGATTTAACTCCCTGCTAATGTGTCTGGGAAAACAGCAGAAGATGGCCCAAGTACTTGGGCCCTTTTACCCCCATGGGAGACCTGGAAGAATCTTCTGGTTCCTGGCTTCAGACCGGCCCAGCTCCAGTCATTGAGGCCATCTGGGTAGTGAACCAGTGGATAGAAGATCTCTCTCTCTCTCTATCTCTCCCTCTCTGTCTGTAACTCTGCCTTTCAAATAAATAACTAAATCTTAAAAAAAAAAAAAAGACAAGGAGAAAAGAAATTATACTCAAGATGGTAATAATAATTTCATAAAGCATATCATTAGCTAATCTCTGGCATTCAGAATCATTATTTGGGTCAATAAGCTGAGTATCCCACCAGGGGCTGGCATTTTCTTAAACACAAATAAAGCTTGTGTCACTGGTTTATACATAGTTTTACCAATATAACAAGCCCTGGGGGCAAATTCTCCAATGATGGGAGTTTCAAATCTGTTTATGTTCGTGGTCAAAGCTAGACCAGATCGGGTAGGCATTTGGTCTACTGGTTAAGAAGCCAGTGTCCCATATCAGAGTGTCTAGATTCAATACCCACCTCTGATTCCTGACTCCAGCTTTCTGCTAATGTAAATAAACCCTGGGAGGCAGTGCTGATGGCCTAAGTAATTGTCCTGTCATTCACGTAGGAGACCCAGATTAAGTTTCTAGTTCTCAGCTTCAGCCTGACCTAGTCCCAGCCACTGCAGACATTCGGAGAGTGAACTAGCAGACAGGAATGTTCAATTTGTTTGTTCTTGTTCGTTTCTCTCTCTTTCCCCCCACCCCCACCCAAAAAAACAAAAGCCCAGCCTAGAAACTTTATGAAAACAATAGAAGTGATAACAAAAAAGGAAAAACTGCACTTCTGTAACTCCAAGCTCCTAGGAAGTCAAAGCTCATCAAAAATTGTTAACAGAAACAAAACCAGACAGACACAGATGAAACCAAACGAGTCAGGATAAAAGGATGAGAATGAAGAACTTTAAACTGGGAACTGAAAGACCACACAAAAGGTGTTATTCCCCATCTTATCCAATAAAGGGTACACACACCAGATGAGAGGCATGGTGGAGCTCAGAACACACCACCCCAAAGTAAGATTATAGGAGACCAGTTATGCCAAAATATACATCTAGGAAATATTTTGAGCTGATTATTTTGAGAAA